TCAGTAGAATGCAGGTTGCTGCAGTGGATCATGCCATGTAGCTGTCCTTGCCTGACACTGCCTGGTCTGTGATTTGCAATCAGTAGAAAGTAGGTTGCTGCAGTGGATCATGCCATGTAGCTGTCCTTGCCTGACACTGCCTGGTCTGTGATTTGCAATCAGTGAAATGCAGGCCGCTTGAGTGGATGGTGCTATGTAGCTGTCCTTGCCTGACACTGCCTGGTCTGTGATTTGCAATCAGTAGAATGCAGGTTGCAGCAGTAGATCATGCCATTTAGCTGTCCTTGCCTGCTTCTGCCTGGTCTGTGATTTGCAATCAGTAGAAAGCAGGATCCTGCAGTGGATCATGCCATGTAACTGTCCTTGCCTGACACTGCCTGGTCTGTGATTTGCAATCAGTAGAATGCAGGCATCTGCAGTGGATGGTGCTATGTAGCTGGCCCTGACAGATTCTGCCTGGTCTGTGATTTGCAATCAGTAAAATTCAGGTTGCTACAGTGGATGGTGCTATGTAGCTGTCCTTGCCTGATTCTGCCTGGTCTGTGATTTGCAATCAGTAGAATGCTGGTGTCTGTTGTGGATGGTGCTATGTAGCTGTCCTTGCCTGATACTGCCACGTCTGTGATTTGCAGTCAGTAGAATGCAGGCGTCTGCAGTGGATGGTGCTATGTAGCTGGCCCTGACAGATTCTGCCTGGTCTGTGATCTGCAATCAGTAAAATTCAGGTTGCTACAGTGGATGGTGCCATGTAGCTGTCCTTGCCCGACATTGCCTGGTCTGTGATTTGCAATCAGTAGAATGCAGGTGTCTGTGGTGGATGGTGCTATGTAGCTGGCCCTGACAGATTCTGCCTGGTCTGTGATTTGCAATCAGTAGAATGCAGGCGTCTGTGGTGAATGGTGCCATGTAGCTGTCCTTGCCTGATTCTGCCTGGTCTGTGATTTGTAATCAGTAGAATGCAGGCGTCTGTGGTGGATGGTGCTATGTAGCTGTCCTTGCCTGATTCTGCCTGGTCTGTGATGTGCAGTCAGTAGAATGCAGGCGTCTGCAGTGGATGGTGCTATGTAGCTGGCCGTGACAGATTCTGCCTGGTCTGTGATTTGCAATCAGTAAAATGCAGGTTGCTGCAGTGGATGGTGCCATGTAGCTGTCCTTGCTTGACACTGCCTGGTCTGTGATTTGCAATCAGTAGAAAACAGGTTGCTGTAGTGGATGGTGCTATGTAGCTGTCCTTGCCTGATTCTGCCTGGTCTGTGATTTGCAATCAGTAGAATGCAGGTTGCTGCAGTGGATGGTGCTGTGTAGCTGTCCTTGCC